TGGAAGAAGCCATTTCCGGCAGTTCAGGTGATGAGCTTGAATCTTGTTCCATTCCACCAAGCAGGGTCATCCTTCTCAGCTCTTCAACCTCACATTCTTCCCTATGGGAGAGTGCTTCATCCTCATCTTCCCAATGGCAGAGCTCTTCATCCTCTTGTTCTTCCAATTGGGAGAGCTCTCCAGCTTCATGTTCTAGCCATTGGGACAGCTCTTTTTCACACTCCTTTTCACCTGGGGACAGCTCCTTGTCACTCTTGCTGTCCCCTCGGGAGTGCTCCTTGTCATTTTCCATTTGGTACAGCCTGACGTCACTTGTGCTGTCCTCAGGAGCGACCTCGATGGCCTCTTCCACTGAGGACAGCTCCTCATCAGTCGGGCTGTACCCTGAAATGACCACGATGGCCTCTTCCACTGGGGACAGCTCCAGGTCACTTGTGCTGTCCTCAGGAGCGACCTCAAAGGCCTCTTCCACTGAGGACAGCCCTTCATCAACCAGACTGTCCCTTGAAACAACCTCAGAGGCCTCTTCCACTGGGGACAGCTTCTTGTCACTTGTGTTGTCCTCTGCAATGCCCTCAGTGTCCTCTTCCACTGAGGACAGCTCCTCATCTGTTGGGCTGTCCCCTGAAACAGCTACGATGGCTTCCTCCACTGAGGACAGCTCCTGGTCACTTGTGCTGTCCCCTGCAATGCCCTCAATGGCTTCTTCCACATGGGACAGCTCCTGGTCACTTGTGCTGTCCCCTGGAATCACCTCGATGGCCATTTCCACTGAGGACACCCCTGGCTCACTGTTGCTGTCCCCGGGAGAGAGCTCACTGTCATCTTCCACTGGGGACAGCTCCACGTCACTCCTGCTGTCCCCTGGAGAGAGCTCAATGTCCTCTGTCACTGGGGACAGCACCTGGTCATTGTCACTTTCCCCTCGGGACAGCTCATTGTTATCTATTTTTCCTGGAGCTGTGCCCATGAGGCTGCGCTCCACGGCTCGAGCCCCCGAGGGGATGGGTGGCAGAGGCTGCAGCTGCCAGCTTGGGGACACAAGGGCTGTGCCCTCCTGGGCCACCCTGAGCGGGGGCAAGAGCACCCTGGGCACGGGGGTGTGTGGCTGCCCAGGACAGGGGCTGCAGGGCTGGGGCCCCTTCTCTCCTGCACTCCCCAGCTCTGTGCCCTGGCTGTGAGTGTGCCTGGGACTCACCAGGCAGGGCAGTGGTGGCAGTGGTGGCAGCTGTGGCAGTCTTGGCAGCGGTGACA